AAAACTAAACCAAACATTTAATTGGAAAAGAATTTTTCGCTCATTATTCATACGATAGAGACTTCAGAAAGTGTTTGATTTCAGAATTCATATCAAAACTGGTAATCAGCTAATCATTAATCTTCGCAAATATTCCCCAAAAACTACTCTTATCTCTGGAAAAAAGTTTCTCAAAACTATTTAAACACTCGATTTCATCGCTATTTGTATTCACAAGTCAATAGGTTTTCGTTGGTTTGAAAACTATTCTCACTTTTGTCGACAAAAATACAATTAATTTGTGTTTTAAAATGAATTATCTGTTGACTATCATCGCTGTGATTGTGTTGTCGACCGCGTGCTCGGCGAAGATCACGATCCGAACCAAACGCCAGATCGAAAGGGAGGGTAATCTGAATGAGACGACAACTGTCATCGCCGGTGAGCGCGAGCCCATCGACAAAGACTTCGACGCGGTTCCCGTCGACGACAAGACCGATGTGATGGAAGTGGACTACGACCCCAACGACGGCACCTTCCAGTTTGGCGGCAAGTTTCCCACGTTTTTCAAACACAACGTCAATACACACTTCGATGAACTGTTCCGACAGATGACCAAAAGATTTGAAGGTCTGGTACCCATGAGTTGGTGATAGTTTTCAATCACTAAACAGGTGTTTGTTTGACAGATATGTCCAGAAGTATGTTCGAGCGATTCAATCAGACCAGTTCCCAGTACCCGGCTAACTATAATGGCACCAAAGAGGAGATCGTTACCATCGATGGCAAGCAGTACATTAAGAAGGAGCACGTGATCAAGAAGTCGGACGACAACTTAAATGTAAGTTTTTTTTGATTAACAAAACGTCATTAAAAAAGTTTATAAAATAACTGTTGGTTTCAGATATTCCTGACGACAACCACTTACGAACCCGTCGACGACAAATCCAATGAGAGTTAAGGCAACTGTCAGTGAGACGTGATTTGCATTTAATCGATATATTATGCAATATTTCTATTAATTTTTATGGACATACAGTACTCTCTATTTTACTTATTTTTAGTATTATTTATAATACTTTTGATTCATCGAAATGTTTTACTAACTATAAAATGTATGACACAATTGACGCATATATTCAATAATAATACAGAATCTGTAACTCATAAATCCATTATTTAAATAAAAATGTTGACAACTTTTGGTCTTAAAAATAAGGCAAACATTATTGAAAAGTCTAACATATAGTTAAATACTGTATAATCATGAGATGGAGGGAATGGGAGGTATGTTAAGCTCTCTTCTCATGTCTTCAATATTTTGTTCAAATCTTTTCTCGTAGTAAACATTCATCAGAGGCTTAGCCTCATGTCCACAACGGAGAGCCCACGGGAGGAACGTATTGACATAGTTTTGGCGCTGTTTAGGGGCCAGTCGTACGGCACCAAACAGTCCGCCCGTCCAACACATCGGAAGGTCCGTCTGAATGGCTTCAACCCATTTGACCACAACTTCGCCCAACATATTGGTCGGCATTGATAGCAATGTGTGGACCATATCGTGGATCTCACGATACCTCTGCATTACTTGCGCCAAATGGACGTCATCTACAAACTTGACGGACATTCTGGTGTCTGGACTCACTTTCTGGTCATACAAAGCATCCAAACATATAATCATTAACTCATAAACTAATAGCACAATCAAAACAATACATTAATTCTTAAGAAGTTGTGGTATTCGCGACCAAACGTTCCCTCCGGAAGCGTTGCCAACCACTCGATATCTATAGTCTTTGAATTGATTCGCGGGTTGTCTTCGAGTATCTGTCGGCCTTCAGGGTCTCGAATCATACTCTGGTACATCTCCTTCAGTGCAAAATAACCGGTTGTTTCGCCAAATACTGCCACCATATCTGCGACAAACAGATCCACATTAAGACAATGCAATCAATGGGCGAATGTATGGCAAACCATGTCTGTAGGGGTCAGTGATGGCAGCGATAGCAGATCCCACCGATAGCATCACTTTCTGTGCATTTGTGGTCGGAATATGTGTTTCGTATAAATTAATTATCTTCTCATCTGATCTGTGGTCGTGTTTGGGGTCCTGTTGTTCATATTCCTCGGGATCTGACCCTTGATTTGCTAGACATCGGCGACTATTGAGACCATAAACCTGTCTTTGGATCAGACATTTGTTTGCAAACACCAGTCGCGCCCAAAGTTTAGCTGCCATTTGACCGTTGATTACAGTGAAGACAACACGTGTGGACCAAATGTCTTGATATATGCAGCGATTGTGTCAACGATCACCGCATTTATTATAATCACAATCCAATGCACTGTCACTCAAAACACCGATCGTATGATCAATGAGTGACGCAATCGTATACATTGACTGACAGTCTGTCTGTCAGTGTGTTTGCAATGCTTTTGCAGCGTTTGTGCCGTTATTTGTCGACAGTTTGTGACGTTTTGTCGCCTTTTTTGTTGTCATTCCTTCACTCAATGTCTGGCATTGACTGCGAATGGATGTGTGAGAGAGGCCTCACCACCGCTGATGATCACCACTCATGTCCACCGATGAGACATTCACACCAGTGATGAGACACTCATTCATCAGTCGTCTATTGATTAGCGTTTAGTTTAATGTCTTCGCAATAGGCGTAGTGTTTGTGTCATAACCGCAAAGTATTGTCTCATTTATATCGCATTTGTCGATGACTTGTGATCTGTGTGTCCATTGTGTGACAGTATAGTCATCNTAAAACTTTTTTTTATGTTTGATTTAACGATTAAATGCTCCAAATTTCATGCACACGAGTGAAATCATATTTTTAGACATCCTTTTTCGTTGTAATTATGAATATGAATGAGTTATGAATGTGAATAGTAGGCATTACCTCCCATTATGAAGAATGATAGAAACAGCACCGGTAGGAAGAAACCAAAGGCCACCGCAAGAATATATTCGTGAATTATAGCCGATATTAGGAACACCCAGAGCGCCGATATGTCTTTATTTCCTATCCACTTAACGCATGAATTTATTAGACATTATTTTTAACATAATTAAAATTAAATATTCTGTGAAATTTTAATCATAGTATACTGTATTTTATATATCTCTTAACCCCAATGTATAGGACTAAAAGTTTATGGGAAATTACTCAACTCGTAGATAATGTAGTTATTCAATAATCATAATAAATTAATTAATTTACCTCCCATTTAATACGGTATATAAACTAATGGCTAGTTGAAAATAATCTGGTTACTTTAAATTTTATGAACGCTAAATGCTCTTACATAGATAGCCAGCAATTTTATGTACCAATAATAAATATCCTTGCACGATCATAAAAATGTGAATAAATTTTTTCAATAAGCCATGCCACAAAATTAGGATTAAGAATATAAATACAGTAGTTTACTAATTAAAATATAAAATACATACCGATATACATGTGTCAAAAATATAAGCCCTGAGCCAGTCGTGGACAATAATATTCCACTTGCGGTAAAAGACCACATAATCTGAGCAGTTCCACCAATCGCTGTAAAACTCCCGGTACCCAAACCTCATCATCTCGGCGAACCCGTTCAGCCAACAGTGCAATAGTCCGTAAAACATCAATAGTTTCAATTGTATGCCAACCAGCGAGGAGTTCAGCAGTAAATACACCAGTTGTCTGATTTCAAACGGCTTAATACCCGTCCACTTGAAGTTGTGCTCAACGAATCGCCAGGTGATCGCAAACATGCAAAACATGACTGCCAGCACCTGAAGGAAATACCAGATCACCAGTTTCCAATTAACTTTATTGGTCCTATTTGTAGTAATTGGTCGTTATATGTGATAATTTAGTACATAGTTCATATTCACTTATTTATACCTCGGGTAGTTATCCCTATAGAGTAATGTCGGGGCGTATAGAAAATATAAGAATTGAGATAATGTCGGCGCTTCTCGTGTAGTCTTATCTGAAGTTTAATGGAAAGTAATCTGCAAATTATT